GAAAGAGTATTGGTTCTTAAGAATGTTCTTACCAGGGGCTGGAGTTGTGGATCAGTGGTGGAGCTCTTGCCTGGCATGTGGGAGGCCCTGGGTTCGATCCCTGGCACTGCACATAAATAAATAAAAGGTCTCACCTTCTAAAGGCTTCATCACCTCCCAATGACATCACAAGCTGGGACCAAGCTTTTAACACATAAGTCTTTAGAGACTTTCACGATTAAAACTGTGGTATTTCAAATGTTTCTTTTCTTTTTTTTTTTTTTTTAAAAAAAGATCCATTGACAACTAAAAAATATTAAAAAAAAAAAAAAAGGAATGTTCTCAGCATTGTTTGCTGTGTGGAATAGAGAAAAATCACTGCTAAGCAGTAAGGTCTTAAAACAAAACACCCACAGGCAAAGAGGTCTGCTGAGCTAGAGAATTTTGGTGAAACCTGAAATAAATCTCTCTGGTGGGGGGCACTCTAGGATAGAGAGAGCTTCTCGATAAGATGGGACAGACCCTTCCACTATTTTGCCTTTTAAGAAAATTCAATGGCTATCTATGTGCTTTGTTGTGAATTGAAATTCTGGAGCTCTTGTAAAAAACAAAGCAAGAAGTTTCCCAGAATTTTTCTTGTTCCGAAAGGCCTTTCTTGGGTTGGCATAGAATCTGTGCCAGGATTTCATCACTACCCAGGCCTGCAAGGTCCTGAGTTTCATGGTACCTTCACCTTCATAGGCATTTTCAGGGTAGCAACTGGGTCAGAGGCAATGACCTCACTGGCACCAACCTCTAGGAGTTTGTCAAAAACCAGCGCCTGGGCCACTCTCCCACTGAGGGAGAGCTTACCTAAGTAAGGCTCAGTCGTGCAGTGGTCAGACCTGGCTCTGAGAGAGCCGCAGGTACACAAAGAAAGAAGAGTCTGAGGCTTTGAGCTTCAGTCCTCCTCTGCTGGTGAGGCCCCATCAAACCTCCACCAGGTGGGCTCCTCGCACCAGGCAGCTCTCTGCTCAAGTGCTCCCGCCCCAGGGAGACTTTCTCTGACCCGCCATTCTCCAGTGGCCATCCTTTCTGGAATGGATTGTGTTCATTTTTTAATTTCTTATTTTATTTTTCGTTTTTGCACTTTTCTTCTTTAATTATTCATTGGCGTCTTTATTTTTGCCTACTTCTCCCACCTCCTGTCCTGCCATAGTACAGACAGGCCCAGGAGAAGCAGGCTCTGGTCTGTCTTGCCCGTTGTTATCTCTCTCTGGCTTGTGGAATATGTCTGATATATAGTAGGTGCTCAGTAAATGTGTTAATTGTTTAATTACCAAGAAGGCTGTTTAGAATAGCACTTCTCTTAGAAGGAAGCAGTTGGAATGAGCCACACGCTACCAGAAACCCAGAGGTTAGCATGATTTAGTACCAAAGAGAAAGATGCTGGATCTTTTCCTAGATCTTTCTCACGTATCAAAGCAGTAAAGATACTAAGTCACGGTCTGACTACCAGCCTGTATACGGGAGATTGGTAAAAGTGGCTGAAATAGCTCAACCTCACTGTAGTAGCAAGAGCTGAAATCCTGTACTCCCACTGAATCAAAGCTTGGAAAGAAACGTTTCCCATTCTCCAAATGGGGTGAGGGGGGAGAGTTGAGAATTTTACACTACAAAGCATCCAGGCAGAAAACCACCCGTTTGCCCATTTCATTTTGGTGACAACAAAGCGGTTGTTTGCACATTCTTCCTGTCCCACCTGCTCTGGCCTGCCCAGTATAAACACCTTAGCCAAGAAGTGTGAATGGGGTTAGCATAGTCTTTCAAACAGCGAGGTTTAAAGGGGTAAGTGCCATCTTCAATCAGCAAGAATTATTTTCTGCTAATCTAGGAAATCCAATAATAATTGTAAATGGGTAAGTTTAGAAAAGCTTTGTGCCTTGTAAATATTTCTGTGAAATATGAAGGCAGAGTATTAGGCGAAACACAACAAAGTAATAAATAATAATTACGCTTCTATTCACTGGTCTATTTATTAGAATAGTCTGTTTATTAGAATGGTACAATATACTTCCCAACAGGCTTTATTTGGCTTTCTGGCTCCTCAAATTGTATTTAAAATTCTTTTAGGCACGACCAAGAGCAACCAAAATGAATAATGCCATTAAAAAATAAATCATTAGGTATGAAAATCTACAAGATGATGCAACCATCCCTGAGTTAAAAACAAAAGGATCGACATCTATAAATGTTGAATCTCTCAGGCATTCATTTTATGGTAAAAACAATTACATCGCATCCATCTAATCTTGTAATTAAGATTCAAATGGGTTCAAAATGATTAATTTGTACTGGCCTATCAAAATAGAAGACTTTGTAGTTGTAATCTTCCTGAATAGCAATGGTGTTTTAATTACAAATGCCTGGCTCGCTATTTGCTCAAGAGCAAATGACAATTAGCCGGATCCTGCTGCAACTGTTAATGCTACTGCTACTAAAATAAATGGCAATACTGAATCAGGTTTCTGACATTTCCCTTCAGTTCACGATCTGATGGATACTATATTCGAAATGTACTTAGTCATTTTAAGTCACAGGCAAGAAGGAAAATGGCTTCCAAACAGCTTTAAAAAAAAAAGGTGTTGCAGGAAGGATATTTCGTGGGAAGCCTAGAGCACGAAATCACTCTGAGATGAATCATGTTCTAATGTAATTGAGCCAGAGACAGATTCCAAGCAAACTACTTTAGTTGGCCTCAAAACAACACAACAACAACAACTACCACCACTCTGGAGCCCACAAGAGGCTTGATTGTACAGATAACGTAGGCAAACTGCTAGAATAAAGCACCTATTTACACAAATGCCCCTGAGTCTCCACGTTCTTCACTGGGAGCAAACCTCCAGGAGGTTCAGGCTGCTAGTCTTCCTCCTAACCACCTACTAAGACGCTTTATAGAAGCTCAACATGCACTTGCCGTTGGGGGGGGGGGTAGGTTTGGCTTTGAGTCCTTCACTATTCAGAGCTCAGGGGTCACCAGTGGAGGGATGGGGAAAAACAGGAGCACGAGCATTTTCTGATTCTCAGAATTTCTGAAATATCTTTTGTTTCAGAGGCGCTGGTGAACTCGTGATAATGAAACTACACCTCTGTGCACCAACCTTGACCTGCACTCTGGAGCACAGTACAAAGGAAACCTTAATTTTGAAAGTACTGAGCACAAAGGAGGAAGAAGAAAGCTTGTCACTGTGCAAGCCTTCTCTATATATTTAGAAATATGGTTTAATCTCTAAGGCTTGAAGACCGCATTTTTAAAACGTCTAAAATCAGATCAGGTTCTATATGAGAGGAAACAACTGCACAAGGTTCATTAAATATTTGTTTCCTTTAAAAACACATTCTTTTGCATATCTGTTATTGCATTTTTAAATACGCTTTGGTTACCAAGGAAACAGGTTCCGGCCCAGTGTTAATTTGAAACTAAAATATATTTGAGAAGTTAAGCTGAAAGGAAAGAGCTCATGAAATTATTTTTTTTAAATGACAAAATTTGGTTCTTACAGAACCACAACTCCATGGTCTGTAATGAGCCATTGTAGGGGCTCCATTTCACTTAGTGAAGCTCTATTTCTTCTAAGAGGGCCATCTATATTTAATATTTCCCCCATTAAAGACTGTAACCCCTCATCCCCCTAAATGATATGTACATATCTAAATAGTGTATGTGACCTTATATACTATCCCAAATTGGTTTTGGAAGCATATAAGTTTTTATTTTCATCTTTCATATAACACGTTTTAAGACCGCTTCTTAAAATTTTAATATTTTTAATGTTTCTTATTAAGCTTATTTGCGCTCTTTGAAATTATCTCTAAAAACCCTTTTACTTTTAGTTTCAAGCAAAAATGAAGCTGAATCATCAGACTTTTCAAAAAATTCTTTTGTTGTCTAGAGGCGCCACACCTATCATATAGCTGATTTTTTTTTTAAAAAAAGAATCATCTCACTTTTGTAGCAGAATCATTTGATAAGCTCTACATTTATATAGTATCTGAATAGACAGGCTATCCAGTTTAATACCCTTCCCCCAAAAGACTACAGCTATCTTATTTTTTATTTTAAAAGTCATATTTTAATGCATCTAATGATCTTGCTGCATGGCTCAGAAAAATCTATAAAACATGCAAATTTCAACCTACCTGTATGTGTCACTTAATGCAGTCCTAGCATGACAAGACACTCAGCCATTTTTATGGAAGGCGATGGAGACCAACTGATTTCTCCGTCTTCTTGCTCACAAGTTTTAGATGCAACTGCCACACACACCAAAAAATCATACGCAGAACAGCTTGAATGTGCTGTGATCACGGGAACTGAATTTATCAACAGGAAAACAGGACTGAAAAGAGAAGTTTCTCATCCAGGGTTTCTCTGAGGCTGCAACCAAGGAGGTGATGTGTTGAATTTTTTTTTTCCCCTTGCTCCTCTGAGAGTTCAAAGCTCGGAGCTGACCACTGCAAAGGCCACTGTCACATTTGCTGAAAATCAAACCACTGATACCAGTACTGAAAATACAAATTTGAGAACCCAAGTTGCTTGCACAGGACGGAGTGCATAAGAGTTAAAAATAGCTTCCACCTTGCCTCCTACCTGCATAATAAACATGTAAGTTTCAAGTGTTTAATTTGATACTCACATTAATTAACAATACAACATACATTATTTAAAAGACAGCAAATGCAAGAAGAAAGGGGAGACACCATCTGGTAGCAGAGTTTTGTTGTTGTTGTTTTTGGTTTTAGGGTTTTGTGGGGTTTCTTTAGCTTTGTTTAAAAAGGAAGGTAAAATTGTATTTTGAATGTAATGAAAACATCCAAATGAATCGGAAATGAAAGGTGATGTCAAAATACCTAAGGCTGTAAGAGGGAAAAAAAAAAAGTCTTTGCTACCAGATGATATGGCACACAGAGCATTTACATACTCACATCCGAAATACTAGGCAACGTGTAATGAATTCTGTACACAGCATGCACACAGCACAAGCCCGGCTAATCCTGCCTGCCATCTTAGGCTCGCAGGAGCAAGATACGCAATGCATGCAGCACACGAGCACCGGGGAAGGAGGAGGCAAGGGACAGCTCACCTTAAATGCAGTATCTGATTAATGTTGTAAGTGACATTGCATATCAGCCTCAGAGTCTTGGTTCAACTGAGTAGGAGGGAACAAAGAAAAATGTCATCAACTGCTGATGCAAGATGAGCCCAATCACTAAACACTGTTTAGCAAACTCCAAATTCTGCAACCAGACAGTAGAAGGCATTTCACACACTTAAGCAGAGCTGCTGCACACTGCATGTGTCCTTCTGCCTCTGAGAACCAATCCTTTTGCTAAGGAAGAAAATAAGCTGGAACGAATACAGTCATATCCTCTTCTTGAAGAAAGCTTTCAATACAGTATGTATCTGGTCCGGGATGCATTTTATAGGCTGTTAATTTCATAGAATTGCTAACAACAAAAACCAAAACTGTTAAGCTATTGCAAAGAACAGGATGATTCTGATAAAGGGTATAGCATTTCTAGATTATTTTTCAAAATCCTAAACGGTGCCGGCAGGCTTGCAGAAGAATGCATGATCAGCTGTCTGTATCCGTTCTATAACCTTTAACCACAAGCAGCGTAAATGTATCCTGCTGAACGTATCTGCAGTACAGAACGGCAGATACCGCTTCAGACCGAATTGTATTGAGATGGGAATGAATTTTCTTAAAATGAGCAGCAGAAAAAAAAATCAGTACAGAAAAATAAATTGATGCTGAGTTTCTTGGGATGTATAGCTGACCATCGTGAACAATAAAAGCTATATTTAGGATACTGACCTAAATAATACTAAGACTTACAGCTGCATACTGTACGTGTTCAGAACATAGAAAATGCAAAATGATTTTCTCCTCCCTCCCCCTTCGAAAGCTAAATTTAAAAGTAACAAGCCATTTATAGGAATACCGAAAGGCTTTAGACGGTACATACTGTAGGAGAAGAAATCGTGTTGTGCTGAGAGGCAATGTTCTTTGTTTTACTTTGAAGCTTATTTTAGCTACGCTTGTACGATGACATTGACATCAGGTCAGGGCCGACGCTGGGTTGCTATCCGTTTTATGAGTGAAATGTTTCCCGAAAATTAAATCTCATCTACTCAAACACCAAATTTCATGTCTTCTTCAATACACCTCCCTACCCCCACTGCTCAAGATTGATGGGACCTAGTTTGGCTGTATGTAATAAATTGGCATCACTTTCTGCAGAGACACCAATACAGAATTGTGAAGAATTAATTTTTTTAATAAAAAAAAACCTTCGAGAATTCTTATGCACATCCCCTTTCATTGCTTCCTATCAACACACACACACACACACACACACACAAAATTGAAGCTCAAATTGCAATGAAATGTTTAACATGTGGAACAAAAACTATTGAAAGAGCTGCTTATTCAGGATTTTTAAGAAATGCCTAATAAGCAAATACTATTTTGCTACAAAACCAGTGTCACCATGTCCCCAAAGAGGAAAACAGCGTAGCTTGCTAGAAGAATTTTCTCCAGATTGTGCCGGCAGGTAAAAAACAAAACAAAACAGAAAAAGCATTTCATTTACCATGCTATGTAAAACAAGCAGTCATTTATTTTAAGAAAACAGAACATGTTCTTTTCCACTCTGTTTCTTTAGTTACAAAGAAGCCATACCCACCCCCACCCTTAGAACCTGGATATAAGCCAACATTTTTATAAAATGCTATGAAATGGATTTTGAATATGGAATATTTACATTTTTTGTCTTCTTATCTCCCCCAAAGTCATTAATTGCCTATTGCATCACTGCATATGCTAATGTTAATTAATTTTAACACGTGCAAAAAATGAATTGGTATTTTCTGAGGTTGCTCGTTTTCCAGCGCCTCTCTCTTCTGTAAGAAATGGCTGAAAATAATCAGGTGAACCAAACATTCAAGTTCCCCAGAATTTCTTAAAGGAGAGAGGGCATTTGGACATCTCAACATAGGTACTAGGTTTCACAACTGGATCTTTTGTTTCTAGCTCACTTCCTATCTCCTTCCCCAGAACAGAAGTGATTTTTAGCTGAATGAGTGGAAAGTACCCTGCCCACCTCTAGCCCTTGCACTTTAGTCTCTGAGTTCGGTTGTTCCCGTGGTAGGTCATACCTGAGCTACAGCAAGTCCTCTTCTCCTTGGAGCACATCTCTCTCACAACTACTCCAGAAATAAATGTGGCTCTAATGAACACAGTAGCTCCTGATCTAACACCAATGGTGGAGCCATCTTCCCCACCCCCACATCATAGCTCTATGAGCTCTGGCTAACAGTGACAGCGACAGAAAATTAGGATGGAGTGTCCTTAGGCCAGTTCCTCCTTTACCATGGGGGCCAAGAATTCAGAGAGACTATCACACTGAGTTACAAGCCACGGGTTTCATAGAAGGCCATCTATAAAGCAGGGTCCTTTGAGGAGGAGGTTGGCAAACACCTAGGTATTTGCCACTCAGTATCCGTTGAGAACGTCTCCATTAAGGACATTTGAAAGCTAGACCTTCATGTTAAACATTCACAGATTATTATTATTATGTAGGCTAAATATTCACAATTATGGAATCTGACCACATTGAACTAAGTCGCTGCTTCCTCTGTCTGGGATAATAAATGACAGTGACAATGACAGTAATCCATATCAAGCTCCCTGGAGAGGTGTATGGTGTTATGTCCTTTTATAGGGAAGGGTGGTCTGGTCTCCTACTGGCACTTATAAAGTAGGTGCCAGGGCAAGCCATTTCCAAACCTCCCGTGGGGTTCCCTATCTCTCCTTGGTCAAAACGAGCTGAAAAGCCATACATTGGTTTATTTTGTGATGTTCCAAAACACTCAGCCAGCACATCTGGTATGTTTGCCAAACCTGCTAGGGTTAAACAAACACGTACTATGGCTGAAAATATTCAGAGGGACGAGCTTGCTTAGGCAGATATTCTCGACTAGTAAATCCTGTTTTGTACTTAAAAAAAATGCTCACACCTACCTAAATTACTTCAGCTTTGTCATGATTACAAGTGGCAAAGATATGCATTCGCTTATGATTTTTAAAAATTGCGTGCACCTCATTAACCTCCTCGGGGCGTAAGCACAGACATTAACTTAAAAGACAAATCCCTTTTCCCCAGTGAACATTTGAGCCTGCTTCTGCCACTCTGACGAGTCAAGCACAAGGTATCCAAAATAATCTGGCAAGAGCAAGCTGGAGGACAGAGCTAGCCAGCAGCGAGGGTTGAGTCTTTCACTTTGATTAACGTTCTTACTTGCTCTCCGTCTCCTTGTTCTGCATGCTGAGCTAATTTTATTTTCGGTTCTATGGGTTAAAGTTAAATTACATGGCTTATGCAAAGTACATAATTCAAGTATGAACAAAGCTTGACTCTCTACGTTTTTTAAAAAAAACATAAAGTCAGGGCACTGAGTCCCAGAGGAATCCATGGTTGATAAACATTTGGATCGGTTTGCACATTTCTTTACACCATTCGCTACATTAAAATTTACAGCTGGTTTCTTTTTACACCTAGTATAGATGGTCAACTTGTGGGTGCATCTGTTATCAGGTTAGGCTATTCTAACTGAAATTTAAAAATTAAATATTCGCCAGATAAAACACTTTGATTTAAATTCTTCCAATGAAAAGGCTTAGATTATTTTTTATGAGGTTGGTTATTACATCTGTCTATTGCTGTATTCATCCCTGGAAACAATTTGATGACTTAATTTATCAATGACTGAAAATACCTTTGGGTGATATTTTAGATGAAATTTTTGGGAAAGTCCAATCCTACTCTGAACATCTCTGTCTTGCCTAGAGATCTGGGCAGGAACTTCTGCTTTCTGTTGATCAGAGCTGAAAGTCTGTTCTAGCTATCAATTATGAGGAATCTACTTCCTGTTCAATATTTTAGCTTATTTAATTATTTTATTCATATTGTAATTATTTTATTTAAATCTAATGCAACAATCCTGTAAAGTGGGTATTAATTAATTTTTATAAAGCTTACTAGTCACATAGTAAATAGCAGAACTGGGATTCGAATCTAAGTCTAATGGATTGCAGAGTTTGTCTTTCTACCAATCATAGAGAATAAAACTTCCTTCTATGTCCACACTCCACTCCTAATATCATTAATTTTTTTTTTATTTGCAGATACCTGGTGGAGGGGCCCTTAGCTTCTGGGAATTAACAAGTTCTCTAGTTTAGATGAACCTGTGTCTACTTTCCAGGCTCTGGGAATTTTGAGTACCTAGGATGCCACCAACCAGAAATTTAAAAATTAAATATTTGCCAGATAAAACACTTTGATTTAAATTCTTTGAATGAAGAATTTAAGATAGGCCAGACTTAGCAGGCAGAAGAGACAGCAGAAAAAAGGAGGAATCAACAAGTTTGGAGAAGTTAAGGGTGGAGAGCTAATGATTTGGGAGGAAGATTGTCATAATTTGGAAATGTTTTATGTGGTAAAGTAGGTGGAAGAAGTTTGAATTTCCAGACAAGCCAAGATTTCACCTAGTGAAATCCAGGATTTCCATATCGAAGATGAGGAAATTAAGGCTGAGAGAGAGATCTGGTGATTTGTACAAGATCACACCCTTCATGAGTGAGTGCAGCCATTCACTGTGTTAAGAATTGTGGCTGGTTTCCTTTCACACCTAATATATTCAGTAGTTGTAAATGTTTAAAATTGAGTTGTTTGACTATTCTAATCTAAATTACAATTAAAGAAAAATCAGTGCAACAATCAAGACTGACCTGCTTTGATTCACAAACAGTATTTTTCTCCTATATGAATAACCTAACGAGGTAATATGCGTTACTTCCCCAATATGTTTTTAAAATGGACTTTTAATTTTCTAATTAATTAATTGATATTTTTCTGTGCTGGGGATCAAACTCAGGTCCTTGCACATGTAAGACAAGCATTCTACTCCTGATCCACCCCCAAATGGACTTTTAAAAAGCCTAACTTTGGGGTAACAGATTTTTCTCTGCCAAATTTAGTGTTTTCCATGCATCATTTTAACAAATGATTCTATATGTTAATATCTGTTCATTTTTCCCTGTCTAAGGTCCCTTCCAGTTCTGTACATTTGTGATTCTAAAACATCCAGCCCATCTTGCCTTCTCAGGTTGGATAGGCCAAGTGCTGGACTCCAAGTCTCCGGCCTCCTGGTGTTTGTGACCAGATGACTGTGTCACTTCATTGGCAGTAATTTTATATGGCAGCCAGATGGCTCTCAAAGGGGGTTTTCTAATCAACCAGCTCCACCCTGCCTGGGAATATGAGAGGATTCTCTTGCTCAGTGCTTGTGAGGTGTAGACATGTCAAACTCCAGGACATGTCAGACTCCAGG